ACCAAAGTGAAGCTCTTGAGACACTCTACCTCTTTCCCAAAGACACTAGGGTAGAGAAACCAACAGATCTAGGTGAAAATGTAGAAAGAGAGAGAGAGAGAGAGAGAGAGAGAGAGACTCTAGATCTAGGGTTGATATACGTATAGTTCGCTTGAATGCAAGAAATGAAACTCGATCGTCAGACACAATAAGTTGTTTCGCTCGAGCGTAAGAAGTCTCGCTTGAGCGCAGAATACACACTTCTAATAGTTTTGCAGACAGTAGACCAACGCTCGAATGCAAGAAAGGCTGCTCGAGCTCAGAAAGCACCGCTCGAGCGTAGAATACACTCTCCTAGTAGTTTTGTAGACCTACAAAAATACTGAGAGTTCACAAAGCCCGCTCGAGCGGAGGAGTAAAATTCTAGGCAACAAGGGTTTGAAAACCAAGCTACCAACCTATTCCAAACACAACCAATACAATCCAATAGCCAAACTCAAATAGGTATAAAGGAAATATGACATAAACAACAATACGAAACCATGAAACCCGAGTCCAAGATACAAAATGGTCAGGTTAAAATCAGAATCGCTATAATCGGAACTGGGTAGGGCGGTTCCATTATTTGTAAGCCTTACACTACAAGAAATTACACTTTCTGTGACCAATGTTTTTGGTTGCGAAAAGTACCATATTTGGTCGCTAAGATCTTTTTGCGACCAAAAATGTGTTGGTCGCGAGTTGGTCACAAAAGTCTCGTCACAGATAGTTTTCTGCGACCAAAGTTATAGTTGGTCGCTAAAAGGGACCATTGACAACCAAATAATTGGTCGCGGAAAGTCCAATCCATATTAGCGAAAAGATAACTTTTAGTGACCAAAGTTATAGTTGGTCGCCAAAAGTCAGCGCCTTCACCAAAAGAAAAATATTCTTTTGCGCTGCCTGGGAGTTGAACTCCTAACGAAGGAATCACTCTCTATGCACCCAATCCACTCTGCTAATAACATGCTTGTTGTTCACATTTGGCAGAGAAAATATATAACCCATAAAAATTGGGTTATATATTATTTCATAAAACCTCCAATGCCTAAACAGAAAAATAGAATGTAATTATAGTAGTACTCGTTTTTTTTTTTAATTTATTCCACCATAACTTTCCGCTACCACTTATTTTTTGGTCGCCAAAACGTGATCTTCTGCGACTAAATTTTTAGTTGGTCACCAATAGTTTAGTCATTCGCGACCAACTTATTTTTTGGTCGCCAAAAGGTGATCTTCCGTGGCCAAATTTGTAGTTGGTCACTAATAGTTAAGTCATTCGCGACCAACTTATTTTTTGATCGCCAAAAGACGACCTTCTGCGACCAAATTTGTATTTGGTCGCCAAAAATTAGCTATTAGCCACCAAAAAATTGTTGGTCGCCAAAGCATACCTATCAGCGACCAAAAAAATTTTAGTCGCAGAAAGTGAACTATTTGCGACCAACTCAAAATAGGTGGTCACCAAAAGTGTTTTTTCTTGTAGTGTTAGGCCATTTGTTTTATTTATTTGGTTGTGTGCCATTATTATAAGGGTTACACCTTTTATATGTGATGTAAGCCTACAGGCACTTCAATTTAATGATTAACATCATCGTAGGTTTAATACAGAGTATTCATACCACTTAAAGATTGTATATATGATGTATGAAATCGGATAAACACATGTATTGTGTGACTATATTGCATACATCTGTATGAGAGTTTTTTTTTTTTTTTTGATAATTCATCTGCATGAGAGTTATTACTTTTATTTTATTTTATTATTATTACAGTCTTTTATTTATTGTTGGTGGTTTATTCGCATGGGTCGAATCTTGTAAATCCGGGACGTGACAAAGATTATGTGTCAATTCAATCCCAACACAACATGAGGATTAATATAGCTATCCTAAATTCGATCCTACAAAATTTATAAATTTCAAGCCCGGTCAATTAATCCATTATACATAGACAATTATATATATATATATATATATATATATTTTTGGGTGGGGGGGGGAATTGTGTCTTGGAGTGATTTTAAATGAATTTTTCATTTTTAATAACAATTCCAATTTGGACCATTAGCAAAATTCAATTGAAAATGATTTTTACTTTTTTAACAAATGTTCAAGTTTTAAGCTCTAAAACACACACACATATTTTTTATTGTTCATTTTTTTATGAATGTTTTGAAAAGAATACAAATAGGCAGAGTGTTAGAAATAAATTATTTCAAAAAATATTGTTTAGTTCAAAAGCACAAAATTGAAAAAAAAAAAAATTGATTAAAGAAAACTCAAATGAACCAAAATAATAATTTTGTAATATTTCCACTTAAAAGAATTAATGTTAAGATAATCAGTAATCTCATTCACATGTATTTTGCTAAATTCATATATGTGATTTACTTATTTATTTATTTTATAAAGAAATTATAATTAAGTTCATTAATAAGTATAACTTTGGTTATAACAAAAAAAAAAACTGGCAAAGTCATATTTTCTTTTTCAAACTCAAATATATTTTTTGATTTTTGATTTTTTATCTTTAGTAATTTTTTTTCATGTTTCACTTTTTTTTTAATTTTTTTTTTTTGGATACACCTAATCTAAATGCATCTAAAATGTAAATTTTTTGAATAAAATCACTAAAAATGAAATAATAATAATAATAATAATAATAATAATAATAATAATAATAATAAATGACACATTTTTTTGTAGTTTTTGTCTTTGTTAATTTTTCTAAATATTTTCTTTCATAAATATCTTAGTTTGTAGGTATATTTGACTAAAATATGAAAAAAATAAAAAAGATTTTATTGAAGACAAAAGAACTAAAACAAAAGCTAAAAAACTAGTAAATATCAACTAACCTTTAATATATCTAGCAAAAGAATTTAAAAAAGCTGCCGTAATCTATTGCATGAAATAATATATTGAGCGATAGGCAAGAAAGAAAGAAAGAATTTTAATTTTTCATTTTAAATTTTTGTAAGAGCTAATAAGTTTTGACAAATTAGGAAAGAGTTTCTTTTAACTTTCCTTTTAAAAAAACATAAATCATGGAATAATTATTATTTTTATAATTATTACATTAATGTGTTAGCCAATAGTATTTTTTAATTCAAAAATTCAAAAATTTTGTTGGAAGTTTTGGATCTCTCACAAGGTTTCTCACAAAAAGTCACTTTACTAGAATATATAGTACAATTGTGATTGGTAGCTCGAAACCCAGTCCACCGAATTGCCCGAATTTGAAAAACGACGTCGTTTTTGCATTTTTTTTTTTTTTTTGGGTTCAATCAGAAACGAAGAAGAACAAGAAGAGAAAGAGGAGGAAGAAGAAGAAGAAGAAGAAGAAGAAGAAGAAGAACCGGAGAGGCCATCAACTAGGGGAGAAGGAAGAAGAAGGAAGAAGAAGGAAGAAGAAGAAGAAGAAGAAGAGAAGGGAGGGGCCATCAACTAGGGGTGGAGGCGCGGCGAAAGTCGAGCTGCTGCGACGATCGGCCTGTGACGGAGAGCTGCGATCAGCCGATCTTCTCTCTTCTCTCTGTTTCCCTCTCTCCTCTCCTCTCTCTTTCTCCCTCTCTCTCTCTCTCTTGCCTTCCTCCTCTGCATTTTTCGGGGGATTCGGGGGGGGATTTTCGGGGAAAAAATCATTTTTCTATATAGTATGAGTACACTTAAAAAAGTGTAAAATTTGTACAATAATCTTTCAAAAATTTATTGAATAAAAAATTATAAAAATACAAAATTTAAGAATATTTTCGTATGTGGTTGTATTTAATGAATTTTTTAACCTTTTAAAATTCTTTGCACACATTTTTATAGATATACTGATCTAAAAAGTAAAATTTTTTGATTAAAATATTTAAAAAATTCACTTAAAATAAAAAAATACAAATGAAAATCTAGAAAAATGTTTTTTAAAAAGCCAAATCAAAAGAGCAATTATGGGTTGTTTGGGAAGTAATTTGTAATGATTTTTTTGATTTTTTAATTAAAATGTGAAGTGAAAAAAATATAATATATTTAGGTAACTATTTATGAAAAGATATGTAAAAAATAAATTAAATGAGAAAAAAAACTTAACTTTATTATATGAGTTATTTTTTTTTAATTTTTTGATTTTTTGATTAAAATGTTAACTACCGAGTCGTTAGTAGGAATGGAAGCAATATTATTACATTTACTTAATTTTTTTTAAAAGTATATATGTCAAAAAATCATTGCATGTTTAAAAACATTTCATTTTTTTTTATATTTTTATAATCAATCACATTAATTGCTTGTAATTTTAGTAAAATTTTTAATGAGATTATTGATATACATAGAATCATTCTTAGGCACGGACAAATGATCGAAAATTTTGTAAAAATATAAAACACAAGTTAGAGATTCGAATAGGGATGACAAAATTATCCGATCCGATTATAATTATTCCAACCCAATTTTAATAAAGGGAAAGCAGAGATAATAAGGTAGTAATATAAAATATAAGAATAAGTTAATTAGAATTGTCGAGATTAAAATAAAATATGAAATTATATCTTTAAAATAATTCACTTTGTTTGGTTTTCATTCTTAGAATTCATTTTTTAAAAATTTATTTTTTATTTTTTATTTTTACTGAATTTTAAAAATATTTTTGGCATTTTTTTTGATTTTTAGACACATTTAACATAAATACACTTAAAAAATATAATATTAGTAAAAAAAAATCTTTAAAAAATTCACTAAATACAAAAAATATAAAAAATATAAAAATTCAGTACATTTTTTATATTTTCGTGTATTTATTAATTTTTAAAAATATATATTTTAAAATATTTTACTATTTAAATATATTTAAGTAAAATCCATCTAAAAAAATTAAAAATTATTTAAAATTTTAAAAATATTCATTACAAATAAAAAATAAAAAATTAAATTTTAAATTAAATTTCAAAAAATTAAAACCAATCAGTTTAAAATTAAAAATTGGCGACAAGCGGAACCAAACCCACCGACAGTTGACGAGTTGACACGACAACTTGACTCCCCGCTTATTAGTTACTACAACAGTCCTATGAAGTATGAGAATCAGTTACCATGGTCGCAATAACGTTCTCAGATCTTTGACTTGTGTCTCAATTTCGCTTTTTCTTCTCAACCCAATAACTGCAATAACATTCCTCGATCAGAAATTTACTCCAAACTTAGATTCATCAACATCCAGTGAGTATTCTTTTTAATCACTCTACTTTTTGATGCTTTCATTTTCAATTCTCACTCTAATTTCAATCATGTATCACCAACCCAGTTAGTTATTATCATCAATTTTGTAGTGTGTTTTTGAACAAATCATCGAAGGAAAAAGGAACAATCTTTTATGTGATTAGGGTTCATTGGGTTCAGAGAATTTAGTTAGATCTGATAGTTTTAGTGACATTATGGATGTGCATTTGAAGAACCTGTTTGCTAGATTTCATGAACAGTTTGGTTCTGGTCCGGGACTCGGTCCCGGATCTGGAACATGTCTTATGAAAGTGGAAGGCATTGCCCCTCCTTTCATTAAATCCATTTATAGAGCTGCTGGTGCTCTGTATAGGACCGATCCGTGGAAGCGGTTGCGGCCCGGGCACCTTTTTGGGTTAAGGGTTGGGAAAGATTCTGATTGGTCTGGCAAGAAACAGCCATTTCTATGCGTTCAATTCGTAGGAGGGGATGGTGGGGATTTAGGGTTTCATATGTTTAGATCGGAAAATGATGCACGGAGGATGACAGGTTCTAGAGAGACGATTCGGGTTCCAAATGTCGAGCTCTTGAGAGTGACTTATGAGCTTGAGTCATTGATGTTTCCATCGAATAAGAAGATGATTAGGTCCTTGTCGTTGGAAGTGTCAGGTACTGATCGTTTTCCTGTCATTGATGTTGCACGTTGTTCTTCATCTGGTGGACTTCAGTTTAGAACTCCCACCCTGGAAGAGCTTCGGTTTGTGTATGCGGCCATGAAGGCCATTTCTTTGGTGCACCCGTTGCTTCAGCAAGATAATGGTGCTGGTCCAAGGTGGTCAAGAGTGGTTTATTTTGAACCATTCATTGAAACAGTTGATGTGCAATGGCCTCCTGAAATGTCCAAGGGTAATGATCTTGTTGCAGTGACAGTCTCACATCCACCTGGTCAGGGATACGAGGAAAAGGCCATCTCAATGGCTAACTCAACCCCCACCAAGTATGCGGAACCACCCAAGGAGGAGACCTTTGTAGATGTGAAAGTGAGCTCTAGTGTTGGATTGAGGCATTGTGAAATGTGTGAGAAAGAAGTTCACGGAGAACAATCTGTGTGTTGCAACTGGTGTTGTGCGGTGGTTTATTGCAGTGCTCTTTGCCAGAAGCAGCACTGGAAGGAAACACATAAAGGCATGTGTGGCCTTTACAAGGCAATGATGGAACGAGAAGAAGAGTTGGCAATGAAATTCTTCGTCTTCCCTTGTTCAGCTTTTCAGCCATGTAAATGGCTTGAATCATTGGATATCCACCAGAAGGGGATGTGGAGGAGGAAGTGCAGTTGCTATTCCCACATCCCTTACGGTCTGCTTCCTGTTAATGGTGGACTTTGGGATTCATGGGGTGGGCTGGATGATGATGAGTACCCTTGTGATTCACCTTTTCATAATCATTTAGGGGATGGACTATCGAGTCCGATCCTTCTCTCTGGTTGGTCAGAGTACTATAACCTTCGATCGCTGCCAATGTCAAGCCCTGTTGCAGACATTCTCTCCCACCCCCTGACAATCTATTACATATTAACAGCACTCAATATCAGTTCAAAGAACCTTTTGCTCAAAGGCAAAGAGGCGATTCTTCACTACCTTGGGCCTGAAGGGGAGTTGGATTGGATGCCAGCATTTGCTGAGAGTGGTCATCTACTTAATGGGATGAGCAATATACAGATAGTAATGGTGGGTCCTGGAGTTCCAATGAATTTGTCGGGGACAACTTCAGGGATAAGTAGCAGAGTAAGGGTGAATCTTGTGAGGGGACTTTATCAGGAGGAAGCCACTTACCTATCCTCACCTCATGTAGTTATTGCACTCAACTGTGGAATAGAGAAATATGCAAGTTGGGGTGGAGCCCTCAACTTAATCAAGTCCATGGGTGTTCCTGCTTTCTTCACTGATCTGTCCGAACTTTCATGTGCAAATGCTAAACAAGTTCTTCGGACTGCTGGACTGCATATTACTCAACCTGTGACACCGAATCCGTTCCGCTCACCAGTGAGGAATAATGGACCTTCTAGCAATCTTCCCTCATACAGCAATGGTTTTGTGTTTGGAGTGAATACATGAGCTTGAAGCCAAGAGACTGAATGAGAGTCTTTTCCTGTGAGTTGTGCCCCACTTTTATATGCTTGTTGTAAGGTAATGACAATGGTTTTCTGATGAGAGATGTATGGAAGAAGTGTTTGTCAATTAGGCACCGCATTTAACATAATTCGTTGAAGCTTTTGTAATTTTGCTCTTAAGCTATGATTACGTTGTAGTGGGGTTTATTTATGTTATCATTATACACCTTGTTGTTGTTGTACCTTTTTTTAGATTATTTGACACCAATCTGCTGCTGTCCAATGCCTCATAAGTGCAGATATACCCAACATATTCATCACGAAAGCCTATTCTACACCGTAATTACTACTACATTTTTACTTATATCAATAAGGAGGTTTTCATGTGCAAATGCTAAACAAGTTCTTCGGACTGCTGGACTGCATATTACTCAACCTGTGACACCGAATCCGTTCCGCTCACCAGTGAGGAATAATGGACCTTCTAGCAATCTTCCCTCATACAGCAATGGTTTTGTGTTTGGAGTGAATACATGAGCTTGAAGCCAAGAGACTGAATGAGAGTCTTTTCCTGTGAGTTGTGCCCCACTTTTATATGCTTGATGTAAGTAATGACAACGGTTTTCTGATGAGAGATGTATGGAAGAAGTGTTTGCCAATGAGGCACCGCATTTAACATAATTCGTTGAAGCTTTTGTAATTTTGCTCTTAAGCTATGATTACGTTGTAGTAGGGTTTATTTATGTTATCATTATACACCTTGTTGTTGTTGTACCTTTTTTTAGATTATTTGATACCAATCTGCTGCTGTCCAGTGCCTCATAAGTGCAGATATACCCAACATATTCATCACGAAAGCCTATTCTACACCGTAATTACTACTACATTTTTACTTATATCAATAAGGAGGTTACTGAATTTATAACTCTTTTTATTTTTTATTTTTTATTTTATTTAAATTTTTTATTTCTTTCTTTTGTAATTCTATTCATCCAGTACACTTTGGATATGCCACTGATTTCACTATGTACGACTTAGCCCCACATTTCATTTGAAGTGGACTAAAGATATAAAATTTTCAAGAATTCCATAGAATTCAGTTTGCGGGAAAAGAAGTTACATCTTTGATGGATGGTTGTTCATTTAGTCAAGTATTTTTGACTGTTAAGTTTTGAAATTCTTAACAGCCATTCCTTCCCAAGTAAGGGTTGCTGGATGTGATGCTTTATCAGATCATAAGATAGTTGTTTCATGAGGTCCTAGATGCACATGTGTCAAATTATTGAGAGAGACAAAAAAACTTGTACTTAGGCCTCGTTTGGGGAGTGGCTATTTTAGCCAAAAAATCAAAAAACCAACTAAAAGTTGTCACATCACCTCTCTACTTTTCTGCACATCTTTTCGTAAAAAGCCAAAAATGTACTAAAATAGCCTATTCCCAAACGAGGCCTTAATCCCAAAAAAAGAAAATTTATGTGGAAAAGCATGGCAAACAACAAGGATCATGCATCTTCGAGTTTTGTCTGAAAAAGGATCTTGGGACTTGTTTAGAAGGAGTGCTGGTGATGTTGTTGACTCCCCCACATTTGTTTCACAGTGAATGTCAAGGTTTGGCCTTACCATTCGTCATAGTTGGAAGGGCAATGAGAGACAACGATTTTCACAAAAAATGGAAAGAGGCAGCTTTTGAACTTAGAAAATCATTGCCAACAACCTAAGAAGCACAGACATGGATATGGATGCGGACACGGGACATGGCGATTTCAAAAAAATGGGGACACGGACATGGCGGGAACATGCCAATAAAATATGTTTTCATTTATTTTTATGTACTATCTAGTTTAATATTACATCCACAAACAATCAATATTAACAAAAACTAACTCTAATTTAATATTTAAAAAAAAACACTTTTAAATTAATATTTATAGTTTATGTATTTTTTATGGATGATTTATTAAGTATTTAAATTTTTTATGGATGATTTATTAAGTATTTAAGTCTAAGAAAAAAATTAATAAACATTCAACATCAAACATTGATCAAAAGCACTAAAGAAAATGGGGGAGGCATGTTCCTAGTGTGTCCCTGGTGTGTCTCTTGAAAATAAATTAATTAAATAAGGGGACATGCCATGTGGCGTGTGTCATACATGTCCCCTCTTTGTTCGTGTGTCCGACACGGATACGGCACTTGTTTTGAATTGTTGGTGCTTCATATCCAACAACCATCGAAGGTGTTGATCGGGAGGAGTATGGAAGTCTTAAGTTGAGCTATGATTGCCTACAGGATGAGGAAGCCGAGTCCTGGTTATTGCTTTGTCTTTTGTTTCTTGAGGATGCTAACATCTCAATAGAAGCTTTGGTTTGATATGACTGGGAGAAGTTGGAGGACATTGTTGTAAAGAAATACCTAGAGAAAGAACAAGAAGCTATAGTTGATAAGTTCAATAAATCTTGAACAACTTTCAAATCTCATTAGTTTCTGCACCGGGGGCTCTACTTTTTGAATGGCCATCCTTGGATGAGTAATTCTGAAAGATTGCTCTGAAATGAAGACTTTTACTTCTGCCACTCCTTCCAGTGTCCACAGCACACCAAAATTGAAGACAATCAAAGTGGATGATGTTGGGATAATGTTCTGATTATGCAAAAGCACTTCAATGTCCAGGTACTCTCTCTCTCTCTCTCTCTCTCACACACACACACACACACACACACAAACACAAACTTACACATTAAATATGCTGAAGAACAGCCCAGGGCTCTTAGACTGAGGGGATGCTACGTATGGCCACCAGAATATTAGACTAAAAACAGTATAAAGGCTTTTTCAGTCTAGTTGACATTTTAGAACCATCAAATAATCACTTCTGATCATTTCAGTAATGGTGAATAGTGAATTCAGAGTTTAGTTTGCTTGCACAGAGGCTGCTTCTGAAGAGGGTTTTGAGTATGCAGATGTCAAGATAGCGGTTGCAAAAGATTTGGTCAGGTTCCAACTCTGATGAAAATAATTAACTTCATCTCAATGGCAGCTCTGTTAATGCACTCCTATTAGCTTGTGTGTGTGCTATTCAAAATTGGTGTACATTATGTTGCCTCCACAAGTATCATAATTAATTTGATTTTATGTTGCAGCATTGCCAGGCTGAGATTGTACTAGTTGGATAAGAGCCTCACTTCGCTCTATTTGGATTCTACTTCAAATAAAGGTCAAGTTTACATTGAGTTTGGCTTTGAACTAGTCATCTAAGTTGGACATTGTGATTTACTTGATTGTATTGTACATTGCTTTGCACTCATGCTTTTGTGGTCATTCTCCTACTGCTTCACAATCTATAGAAGAAACTCTGTACTTTATTTTTTGATTCTAACACTCCTATTCCATTCGATTTGATTGCTTGGATTGATAGAGCTAGCAAAAACTGCCCTGTTCACTCCCGTTTACATATCCTTCATGTCATGGATGTTTGGCAATTATATTATATACTGTTTTACATGACCAAATTACCAATCCTTGCTGCGCCTTCTCCCAACAAAAAGAAAATGTGGGAAAAGGTCATCTTTTATCTAATTGATTGATAATTGGGGTTATAATGATTATATTTTGTGTTCTCACCCAATGCGAAGAGTGCCATCTATATATATACGTAATATATATTATTAGTAGTCAGTTTCAATTTAACAACACCCTTAACAAAACAATTGGGATTTAGTGTCAAATTTAGCACGAATAGATTATTTCACTAGAACAGAGCAGTAAAATTGCAGGCCAACTGCATTCACTAGTAACTCTTAAAACACTGTTAACTGTGCCACTAAACTGTTATCCATGAAACTGCATGCAAGGACTGTTAGCAAGGTTCTGTAATTGGACAGCTCACTTGTCTTCTAACTTCTTATCATCCTCATTATTTATTTATACATGCATTTCAATTTGGGAGAGTCATTGCCTTTGACTATTTATATGAAATTTCAGTGAGTCAATTCTGTGAATAAGATTTTTCTCAAGAAAAGGAAAAGGAAAAGAGAAAAAGGAGGAGCGGGTATATGTTCTTTGCCACCTTTCTTCCCTGGAAGCAAAGTATCAGATATTGTGTGAAGATACATCAAACCAAGAAAAAAATGTTTTCCTCTTCCTAACAATAGAATATTGAGGTTTCTGTCTCCATTGTGAAGCCTGCAGCAACCATTTGTCTTTGCCTTAATTGTTTACAGAAAGAGAGGTACGCTTAAAGTTCTAGTTTCTCCATTTTTCAATAATTTAACTAAGAATTTGAATATATAAATAAGGCTAACTGTAGTCCATTGCTTATTCTATTCATAAAGCAAAACTGTATGTCTGAGCTAAGTTGAATTGTGTAAAATGCTAACTGTATGTCCACATGAGCTAAGTTGCATTGCATTCTATTCATCATACGGAAACATGAAATTCTAAATATTTTGGCATTTTCTTTACCTTTGACATGTGAGCTGTAATTAGCGTGACCCACAATTCATATATGTAAACATATAAAAAACAACTTAGCTCAAGAGTCAAGAATAGTAGTTTTTTTTAGTGATCTTAGTATGCAGTTTTTTATTTATTTTATTTATTTTTATAGTAGTGTCTAAAGAATTAAATAGCTCTAAATTGTGCCCCAAACAAAATCGTATTGTCCATATAAAAAAATAAAAAAAAAGAAAGAAAGAAAGGAAAAAATTCATCTTCAATATTCATAACGTAAGTTTGTTTAAGAGAATTATTTTTCGCATTTTCTAGCATTTAGTATGACGGAAAATACAAGTCAATAGAAGACATTTTTTGTATGTCAGCAGGAGATGAGCTAATTTGGGTGTTAAATGTGTCACGCCCCAAGCTCCGTGACAACGCCGCACACTCATTTAAGTGAGCATGCAAGGCTAAGAGTCCAACACATAACCAACAACGTAAAATACTCAAATTAAAGCCTTAATTATCATAATGCTAAAATCCATGTTTCTATAGATAATTCTTATCATATGAAATTGTCCACCAAGTCCACTAATATAATCCACTAACAAAATACTAATCCAAGTACTTAAATCATAGTCTTACTCTTGGCACTCCCACAAGTAAAAAAATCCCGCGCAGCTCTACTCCTTAGAATCTGAAAAAAAATAAAATAAAAAAAGGGTAAGCTAGACAGTCCAGTAAATAACCAACCATCACTCTTATGAATCCTCCCTCTTTGTTTTGGTTTTGGTCTCTTTTTTTTCTTTTTTTTTTTGTTTTCTTCTACTTTTCAAACCCTTGAGCAGCAGCCTCCAAATTACCCAGCAGCACTTTCATGAGGCTCCCTTTTCTTTCTTTTTTTTTTCTTTTGTTTTTCTTCTTTTACATAAAGGGTTATTAACCTAATTCCTTAAAATTACTAAATTACCCATACAAATTAATTTAACTACTACTTTATCCAAAAATAATTCTACATATAACTTGGGTTTTACATTCTTCCCTCCTTAAAAGAAATTTCGTCCTTGAAATTTGACATACCTAGAGTCTCAAAAAGTTGTGGATACTTTCCTTTCGTTTCATTTCATCCTCGAGTTCCCAAGTTGCTTCTCTTTCTGAGTGATTGCTCCATTGGACCTTAACATAGTGGATGACTTGACGCCTCAAAACCTGTTCTTTCCTATTAACAATTCGTATAGGGTGTTCCTCATAAGTCAAATCCTCCTTAAACTGCAACGGTGCATGATCAATCACATGACTAGGATCCGGTATATACTTCCTTAACATTGAGACATGAAAAACATTATGAACTCCAGCTAGTGAAGGTGGTAGAGCAAGTCTGTAAGCTACCTCTCCAATTCGATCTAAAATCTCAAACGGTCCAACAAATCTAGGACTCAATTTACCACAAACACCAAACCTCATTACTCCTTTCAGAGGAGACACCTTAAGGAACACACGGTCTCCAACCCCAAACACCAAATCGCATTTCCTGTTATCTGCATAACTTTTCTGTCTACTCTGTGCAGTGCGAAGTCGCTCTCTAATAAGATTGATTTTGTCCACTGTTTGTTGCACAATCTCAGGTCCTAACAACTTCCTTTCGCCCACATCATCCCAACAAATAGGTGATATACACTTCCGTCCATATAAAGCCTCATATGGTGCCATCTGAATGTTCGCATGATAACTATTATAATAAGAGAATTCCACTAAGGCCAAATGCTCATCCCAAGAACCTCCAAGATCAATAACACAAGCCCTCAACATGTCTTCAAGAGTCTGAATAGTTCTCTCCGACTGTCCATCAGTTTGAGGATGAAAGGCAGTGCTAAAATTCAAACTAGTACCCAAAGCTGTATGCAAACTCCTCCAAAACATAGATACAAATCTGCTATCTCTATCAGACACTATGGTCACCGGAATACCATGCAACTTCACAATCTCCTTGATATACAAATTTGCAAACTTCTCTAAGGAGAACCCTACCTTCAAAGCTAGAAAGTGAGCGGATTTGGTCAATCGATCAACGATAACCCAAATAACATTGTTACCACCTTGGGTCCTAGGCAACCTTGTCACAAAATCCATGGTAATATGTTCCCACTTCCACTTGGGAATAGGAAGAGGTTGTAACTTACCTGCAGGTCTCTGATGTTCAACTTTCACTTGTTGACATACCAAACATTGAGCAACATACTGAGCAATTTCCCTCTTCATATTATTCCACCAAAAGTTCCTCTTCAAGTCTTTATACATTTTAGTGCTCCCTGGATGTACAGTATATCCTGAACTGTGAGCTTCTCTCATGATTTCTCTCTTGAGCTCTAAATCATTAGGCACACACAACCTCTCTCCAAATCTCAAGGTTCTATCTTTATGCATACAAAATTCCATCTGTAGCCCTATTTCCATTTCAGTCTTAAGTTTTTGCAACTGGGGATCTCTTCCCTGAGTATCTTTAATTCTATCAATCAATGTGGGTTGAACTCTAAGGTTTGCCAACTGCACTCTATGGTTATGCCATCTAATCTCAATATTCAACCTCTGCAAGTCCTCCAAGATATTCTTTTGGTCAGTGATCAAGGTAGCCAAATTACTCGGGGTCTTTCTACTCAAGGCATTCGCCATTGCATTGGCTTTTCCTGGATGATAATTGATAGTCAAATCATAGTCCTTTAATAGCTCCAACCATCGCCTTTGCCTCATATTCAATTCTTTTTGAGTGAAAATATACTTCAAACTTTTATGATCAGTGAATATCTCACATTTCAGCCCATACAGGTAGTGCCTCCAAATTTTCAATGCAAATGCCACGACAGCCAACTCTAAATCATGCGTAGGATAATTCTGCTCATAAGGCTTCAACTGCCTAGACGCATATGTCACTACCTTATCATTCTGCATTAGGACACAACCCAAGCCCATCTTCGATGCATCACTATAGATGGTAAAACCTTCATCTCCAGACGAAACTATGAGTACTCGAGTAGACACCAGTCGACTCTTTAGATCCTGGAAACTCTTCTCACAATCATCAGACCATTCAAATTTAACCCCTTTTTGTGTTAAACGAGTCAAAGGCATAGAAATTCGGGAAAATCCCTCAACAAACCTTCTATAATATCCCGCTAAACCCAAGAAGCTACGAATTTCAGTGACACTAGTAGGCCTATTCCACTCTATTCAACAGACACCCCATCTTTAGATATGACATGACCCAAAAATGATACACTCTTCAGCCAAAATTCACACTTCTTTAATTTAGCAAATAATTTCTTCTCCCTTAATATCTGCAACACTATTCTCAGATGTTCTTCGTGCTGCTCTTTACTCTTCGAGTACACAAGAATGTCATCAATAAAAACTACTACAAACTGATCTAAGAAGGGTTTAAATGCTCTCTTCATTAAATCCATAAAAGCTGCAGGCGCATTAGTCAACCCAAACGGCATCACTAAAAATTTATAATGCCCATATCTAGTTCGGAAGGTTGTCTTAGGTATATCTTCCGCCTTAACCTTCAACTGGTGATAGCCAGAACGAAGGTCAATCTTAGAAAAGACTTGTGCTCCTTGCAACTGATCAAATAGGTCATTTATTCTAGGCAAAGGATATTTATTTCGAATTGTCACCTTGTTCAACTCTCGATAATCAATGTAAAGGCGAAAACTACCATCCTTTGTTTTCATAAATAAAAAGGGCACCCCAAGGAGAAAAACTAGGCCTGATAAAGCCCTTATCTAGTAACTCTTGTAATTGATCCTTCAACTCTGTTGGGGTCATTCGATACGGAGCCTTGGAGATAGGACCCGTGCCGAGTATCAATTCGATGGCAAACTCAATCTCTCTATCTGGTGGCAACCCCGGTAAGTCTTCAGAAAAAACATCGGGAAATTCCTTTATAACTAGAATATCCTCTAACTTCAATTCAGTCTCACGGGCATCTCTCACAGAAGCTAAATAACCCTCGCAACCATTCCTCAACAATCGTCTAGCTTGCAATGCTGAGATTACCAAAGGAGGAGTGTTAACTCCACTACCCACAAAACAAAATTCTGGTTGATTAGGAATCTGAAATACTACCCTTTTGCCTCGGCAATCAACAGAAGCATAATTGGTTGCCAACCAATCCATTCCAAGAATTATGTCAAAGTCCCGCATATCTAAAATAGTCGAGTCTACAAGCAATCTCCTGCCATCTATATTAACCACACGAGATTTGCAAATTAAGTCCGCAACCATAACACCTCCTATTGGGGTTTCAACACATATGTTAATCTCTCTAGGGACACATTTCCATCCATGTTTCTTAACAAATCCCACAGACAAATGAATTTGTAGCTCCAGATAAATAACACATGTGCATAAACGGAAGACACTAAAATAGTACCTGACACCACCCTGTTGGAAATCTGAACATCTTGTTGTGTGAGTGCGTACACTCGATCCTGAGTCTTTGGCTTATGACCTCCATTTTTCTTTTGATTTCCTGAAGACA